TTACAAAGGAAAGAAATGGCAGTTAACAAATTTAATACAAATATTAGTGGAATAGCCCGTCATTAGACATCACATGTGCCTCCTAATTTTATACAAGACAAATATCTAACAGCATACCTAAATTAATCCTGCCCAAACTGCTTAATCTGCATCCTGTTTCTAGACCCAATTTCTAGTTTACAGAAATACAGGGAATGAAGGAACAAACTAAACAATACCGAGGAGACAATCAGACAAAATTCACAATGTGGGACAATCTACAAAACAAGCAGCCTAAATTAAGAGATTAATAAGACAATAACTAAACATGTGAACCTTGATTAATAAATACTACTTGAATAAAGTTAGAAAAAGACATTTTGGAAAAATTGTGCAAATTGGAATATGGACTAGTCAATTAAGAAAAAAATTTTTCCAGTTTTTCTTTATTTTATTAGTATATGTTGGCAGTTACATAACAATTATAGTCAGCATGAAAATTTAGGAAATTATGATTAAATATAAATTATCAATAAACATAAAAAAGTTTAACTTTAACAATTATTAAAACAAGTTTAACTTTAATAATTATTAAAACAAGGGCCAGGTGTGGTGGCATACACCTGTAATTCCACCATTTGGGAGGCTGAGGCAGGATGATTACCCTGACTTTGAGGCCAGCCTGGGCTACATAGTGAGCTCAAGGTCAACCTGAACTGCTTTTTTTTTTTTGGTACCGGGGATCGAACTAGGGTCCTTGGGCTTGCACAGCAGGTGGTGAAACCACTGAGCTAAATCCCCGGCCAACCTGAACTGCATAGTGAGATCCTGTCTCAAAAAAAAAAAAAAAATATTGCTATTGTTATTATTATTTAAATAAGATGTTAAAATTTCTCTATAAATATTGGTGGCAATAAAAATTAATACAAATTTTTGGGCAGGACAATTTGGTAACATGTAACAGAAGTTTTTAAAATGTTTATATACTTTACCCAGCAATTCCACTTCTAGACATTCAACCTACAGAAATAAGAGTTGTACATAAATATTTATTGACCAGAATATTCACTATAGTATTACTATTAAAAAATGGATACAACCTAATTATCCAAGATATAATAAATTATACAATGGGATACTGTATAATCATTAAAAATCTTTATTTTGTTTTGTTTTGAAATAGAGTCTTGCTAGGTATTTTAGGCTAGCCTTGAACTCATATATAATATAGGAAGGTCCTTAAAATACCCTAAGTGCAAAGGAAGGAAGTACATTAAGTACAAAGGAAACTAATATGTAGTTTCACTCTGTATTTTCTACCTTATAGGAAAGAGTGATCAAAATAAATTAATTTTGCTATTTCTAAGTGGCAGGTGGAGAAGTGATTTTAATTGTTTTTTGTAGGAGAGAGGATCATTATTTCTAATAACCAAAAGAATAAAAAAAAGGAGTACAGGGCCGGGGATTTAGCTCAGTAGTTTCGCCGCCTGCTATGCAAGCGCAAACATGGGCTGGGGATTTAGCTCAGTGGTTCCGGCGCCTGCCTCGCAAGTGCAAGGTCCCGAGTTCAATCGGCAGTACCAAAAAAAAAAGGGACTACAAGGGCTGGGGATTTAGCTCAGTGGTTCTCGCAAGCGCAAGGTCCCGAGTTCGATCCCCAGTACCAAAAAAAAAAAGGGAGTACAATGTTATTTTTTGTAATCCTAGAAGGCAGAACAAGGAACTACCACCTGAAATTACAGGGAAATCAACTGTGATGGCACATGCCTATAATCCCAGGTATTTGGGAGGCAGAGATTACAGGTTTGAGGCCAGCCAAACCTCAGTTTAACAGGCAACTTAACAAGACTGTCTCAAAAAAAAAAAAGGTGTGGAGATATAGTTCAGTACTCCCCGAGTTTCATCCCTAATACAACCCCCACCTGCAAAAAAAAAAAAAAAGAAAGAAAAGAAAAGAAAAAAATGCAGAGAAGCCAAGAGCCAAGTTTGTTGGATGTAAGGAATGACTTTCATTGGGGTCAGGGATTTAGCTCAGTGGTGCTGCACCTGCCTCACAAGCGCAAGGTCCTGAGTTTGATCCCTGATACTGAAAAAAAAAAGAAATGACTTTTAAACAATTAGAGTTTTCAAAATAATGACTGAATCTGAATAATTTGCATTATTCAAATTCTAAGCAAAGGCTGAATAATCATATGGCAAAGACACATAGAACAGATTTATGGGCCAGGGATTTAGCTCTGTGGTTCCACCCACGCAAGTGCAAGGTCCCAAGTTTGATCCCCGGTACAAAAAAAAGGAACAGATTTATGTGTTAGGAAGTTAAAGAATTCCATATAAAGTTTTCCATTAATTGAAATGCCAGGAAGGAAGTAGTTGGTATTTCTTTGTAAATGTTATTAAAAACCCATATGGGCCTAAACTAAACTAAGAGATTATGCCTATATTAGAATAATGGAGTAGTCGAAGGATGACTTATTTTGTTATATTCTGTATCAATAACATAGTATAAACAATGTTAATAAAATGAAAAGAGAGGACTAACCCAATGGAGGATTAAAACTGAATTAACAAGAACTATATTTGAATCTGTCCCCTATAATTTCTCTATGTCTAATAATATTTAGCTCAGTGGTTCTACCTCCTGCCTTGCAAGAGCAAGGTCCTGAATTCAATCCTCAGTACCAAAAATAAATAAATAAATAAATAAATAATCTGAAGAGTTCAACTTTTCCAAGCACTGTATCTCAAAATAGCACTAAACATTTCAAAGAGGAAGACAGGAAGCATTACACTCCCCTTGTTTTCTGACTGTCCTGTATTTCATATACAAACAGAAGAAAGATGAAGAATAACCTCCTCTCCCCTTTGCAATATGGTACACAAAATCTTAAAACTTTGGATATATGAATATTGGGCAGTGGGAAATGACATGAAAACTCAGTATCATACTGGATTCTGGGAAGGCAGATACAGATGCTAGAAGCTTATGGAATCTTTAGAGTAACCGGTAATGTTGAAACTATTGAGCTATAAATAAAAAGAACCTGCTAAAAGATGCAATTTTTAAAAATGATCTTCAATTCCCAGCACAGTAAAGAGTAAATATTAAAAACAATGTCTTATTGTGAAAATTTTCTAATATATGCAAAAGTAAAGGATAGTTTAATGAACCCCATATGCCCATCATTCAGCTTCACTTGTCCAACATTTTGTCAAAGCTGTTCCATTTGATTTTCCAAGATTTTTTGAGATTTAAACCCCTTGGGGCCGGGGATTTAGTGCAGTGGCACAGTGTCTGCCTCACAATCGCAAGATCCTGTGTTTGATCCCCGGTACCCCTCCAAACACATACACACAAACACACCAAAAAAAGAAGAAAGAAAAGAGATTTTTAAACCCTAAGTCATACCCTTTTACATATAAAAATTTTAATATGAAAGATGAACTTTGTTGTCAATAGTAGTAAGTATTCCTCAAATGCTAGCTGCTAGAGTCTAGGTACTGTTTTATGCATTAAACTTGTACTTAACATACAAAATCTTCACATAAGCTAAGCCTCATTTTATCCTCCTTTTACACATAAATGAGTTTTTTGGTTTTTTGATCCCAGGGATCGAACTCGGGTCCTTGCACTTTCGAGGCAGGTGGCGGAACCACTGAGCTAAATCCCCGGCCCCCCAGCAGGCCTTTTTTCACAGAACTTGATTACAAACAATCTACCACTCCAACAACATGGGTGGGAGGATGTCTCTACTTCCACCACACCTGAAATAGTTCAAACAAAAAGATCTCACAAGCACGGGGTTGTAAAATCATTATAAAGAGCACAAAATAAAAAATTCTTCTGACTAGTATCTCGGGGTTTCACTAACAGCCTTATAAAATAAACAAAAAACTACTAAGTGAGCATTTTTCAAAAGAAAGGAGTCTCCTTGGGGGAAGGACTGAAAAATCCCACTATAGCTCTCCCTAGCAATTTAGAGCAGATTTTAAATTCATTATCTTTTCTGTGGAGTTTACCTCAGACATCCTCCTTTTCCATCTTCTACTCTTCCCAAGCACAAACAGAAGGGCTCCTTCCCAACAAATGTAATTCTTTAGAGAACTAATCAATATTGCAGTATAATTATCTTCTTCTCAAGACTGAATTCCCAGAAGGCTAAGACTTAATATTACTCCTCTTTATATTCCCAATTCCTCATCTTCAAACCTAGCACCACTGACAATACTTGAGAAAGGTTTGCTGAGCGAATAGAGAAAGAAGCTAAAGATGGCAAAATATGGAGTGACCTTTATAAGAAGAAATTCTTTTATCAGTATATAACCTCCTTAAGTCCTACAATGTCAGTTCTACCCACAAGTTTCTCTTTAGGAATTTTCCCATTAGCCAACATGTTAAGCTAAATGATAACATGGAGTATAGTCTTTGGAGGGAGGGTTAAAGAAAGAATTTAGCCATTTTGGTTTATAATAGTTTCTAATGAAGTAAGTTGAAATTAGTTTGAAGGAACTGGAAAGACAGTCAAACCTTTCAAGAGCTTTTATTCAGAAGGCAAGATTCAAGATGGTGTTTGAAATGCCTGCCTTTTTATATTTAAATGCTGAAGGCAATGGGGAAAATAATTTCAAATGAAAACAAAATCCAAAAAGAATGATTAATAAGGAGCACCAGGCCACCCACTTCTAATATCTGTCAAACAAACAAACAAACAAACATCCCCAGCAAAAAAGTCAAGATCTGGCCTCCAGCTGTCAACAGGAGTAGAGGGTGAGATGAAGTGTCTCCTTCACATCCAGTTCTGTATGAGTCTGCTCAGACCTATCTCTAACACTGGTAGCCAAACTGCTTTGGATAATTATCTGATTAGGCAAGCCCTTAAAGTAAAAATCTGTGTAAGGAAGTCATCTTTCTCACTAATTTAAGAAAATTCAAAACAATCTCCCAGTTTAGGCTGCATTACACTGGAAAGAAAAAAGTTCCATCACATATCTTATATGTCATTCTTTGTTTACTATGTTACCTTGGTTAGAGTCCCCTGGGTCTTCTATATGATCAAAGACACGCCTCAGATAAATCTGCTTCTGCTGTTCTAGATCTGATTGTGAAAATGTCGAAACATTAGTCCTTGAACAAAGCAAACGAGGAAAAAAAAAAGTCCATTAGAACCATGAATACAGTGCTTTACAGAGAGAAGTCACATAGTGCTGATTGCTTAGAATAACCAATTTTCAGAGGCAAAATTCTTTTAAGATCCAGTGACAGAAGACAGTCATATAATACAAATGTAAAATCAAGTATTGAGTTGAGTATAAAAGGAAAAAAAGAAATATATACAACCTATTGCTAACAAGGAATAAGAACGTAAAGATTACCTAGTCCCTGGAGAAAGAAAGCATTTGTTGAGTAATTCAAGGGTAGTCAGGAAATAGCTAACCTCATAGAGTCATAGAAAAGTTGCATAAGATAAAGACTGAGTGTACTATAATAAAGAGTCAATGGATAAGAATACTAAGGTGGTAAATTTATTACACTTCCAAGTAGCATGACTTGGATTCTTTTGATATAATTTCCACTGGAAGCAATTTACAAGGTTTCTTTCAATTATGTAAACAATACAAGAAAACTGGGATTGGGGTTAAAGTCAAAGAAGACTATCAGATTACTTGTAATATATTCTAATATGTTAAAGAAGAATATTTAATAATGTGTAATAAAAAAATTGTTTTTGTTTCTCTGAGACAGAGTCTTGCTACGTAATCAAGGCTGGCCTCAAACTCAAAGCAATCCTTTTTTTTTTTTTTGGTACCGGAGGATCGAAATCAGGACCTTGCGCTTGCGAGGCTGGCGCCAGAACCACTGAGCTAAATCCCCAGCCCTCACAGCAATACTCTTGCCTCAGCCTTCTGAGTGCTGGGTTTACAGGCATGTGCCATCATGCCCAGCATCAAAATTAATTTTTAAAAAAATTTTACTGTTTAAGTCCATCTGATTCAGCCTAAAAACAGCTTTTGTAGGACATTCAAAGGTCCATGTACAGACACTGCCATCTCCTGGCAACAAGAAAATAAATGGAAAAGGTGACCTAAATCTATAACCTCTGACTAGAATATGTTATTTCCCAAGGGCAGCTGTGTGCAAGGTGGGAACAATGACTTGATGATTTTCTACATAGTTATATTTTAACATTTTTGTTAAAATTATTCTAACCTCCTATCATATATGTGACTGAGCTTCCCCATACACTGGAGAAAAAATTCATTTAATACCAGTACGCCTGGGCTGGGGATTTAGCTCAGTTCCAGTGCCTGCCTCACGAGCACAAGGTCCCGAGTTTGATCCCTGGTACTCCCCCCAAAAAAAGAATAATACCAATACTCCTTTTTAAATTTCAAAATAACCTTGTGTAGCAGCAGAGAAGGCATCATTACCTTCATTTTGTAGACAGAGAAACTGAGGTGAGAGACTGATTCGCCAAAAACTATAGCACTGTAAGTGCCAGAACTTCAAGTTTGATTACTCTCAATGTTGGGTCCCCCCCCCCACACACACACACACTAAGGGATACTGAGAAGGAAAGACACAAATTAAAGCGAATCAATAGAAACTAGAATATTTATACTGTTATATTACCTGATTTTGGTTTGTAGAACAGGAATGACTTTGCCTGTTCTTTTCTCGCGGCCTTTCATTTCCCCAGAATCCTTGTCAAAAGCATCCTTTTCAGAGCAGAAGGAATCCAAAATGAAAGATGGTTTTTATTTGTAAGTTGTTATAAATTTCAATATTTATCTGAAAACAACTTTATGGAAATTTTTTTAATTTAAGGCTACAAACATATATCCTTTAATGCTACTGTGTACCACACATTATAGTAATGATTTAAGTAACATAGCAACTATAATCTTTTTTGGGCGGGTACAGGATCTGCTATGTACTTCAGGCTGGTCTTGAACTCACTATGTAGCCAATGCTGGCCTTGAACTTGCAGCAATCTTCCTGCCTCACCCTCCCAAGTGCTGGGATTATAGGCATGCGCCACCATGCCAGACCCTGTAACTATAATCATAAAAAAATAAAAGGTAGGGATTATTATACAGTACCCATTTGGTAGATGAATCAGACTCAAAGGTTAGGTAAGATGGCCAAGATTATTTTTCAGCTCTCTGGTGGCTGACTCAGAGCTAGTGTTCAACTGAATAAAGTATAACAATCAAAGATTGAGACTTACACTGAAACCCAAAAAGAAAATAGTAACTATCACTCTGGTATATATTCAATAAATAATCATTTCATATGTACCAGGTACTGTAAATATATCATTTATTAATCCTCATTATATTATGAAATTTATTCACTAATTTATAGATAAGAATGTCAGGGAGAGGCTGGGGATGCAGCACGGAGCACTTGCCTAGCATGCATAAGGCCCTAGTTTCCATCCTCTGTACCAGAGAGAAAGAGAGACAGAGAGACATGGGGGAACATGAAGGGTAAATAATTAGACCATAGTCACAGAGCTAGTCAGGATTAAAACCCTAATTTATTTGAATATAAAGCTCTGCTAGATTGTAATAAATGTCAAGGTGGTTCATGATGTCTATAGCAAGGCAAGTTGTATATGTATGGGGGCAGAGGTATAGAGGAACTCTTCTGAATGAAAATAATTTTATTTTTTTCTTCACTTTGAAAAAAATGTACTTACTCTCTTTGATGAACTGGAAACAACTGGAGACCTCATTTCACAACTTAGTTTATGCGATCCACTATTTTTCCAGGATGAACTTGTACTGGAAGGAGTCTTTGAATGATCTGAGATCTGAGAGAACACAGGTGTAGGTTTCTTACTGTCAAGCGTATTTTTAACAGAGACAGTTTGTTGAAAGTTACTGTTCAAAGGAGAAGAGATCCCATCCCAGGCAGAAATGTTAGGGCTGATCTCTTCAGATTCAGTGTGAACTTTGCTCTCATTTGGGGTAAGATCATATTCTCTCATCTCTTCTCCAAGGGAAGAGAGTTTTTCAGTATCTTTGGATGAATCAGTCTTACTCTTATCAAGCACAGGATCACAAACTGTTGGATCAAATGGTGCAACAACAGTCACTTTTATATGATTCTTTTCTAGTACAAGGTGCCTATTTAATGATTTAGCAGGAATTGGTTCATGACCAACTGTTGTATTTAGTTGAGGTAGTTTGAAGAGGCCAGGGGTCTCGGCTACTGGTTTCAAGCTGTACAATGAACTTTTTTCTTGGGGAGTTTCAAGTAGAATTTGACTCCTTTTTTCTCCATTTGCATGCTCATTTGATGGCTCATCATCCTTCAAGAATTCTTCAATCTCTTCCTCATTTGATGAGCTATCATCTTTCAGAAGCTCCTCGATCTCTTCCTCAGTGAGACTGAAATGGCCATCATCTTCTTCTCCATCAGAGAGCTCCAGCAAAGAGTCATCCAATTCATCCTCATCCAAGGAGCTCCAAGAAAATGGGGCATTGTTTTTGGGTAAAAAAGAGGCACCGGGAGACTGCTCAGAGGGCATCAGTGAGCACATCATATCTAGATAAAGAAGAGGAAGTTCCACTGAGGAACAGAAAATACTTTAAACCACACTAACACACTATATATGTGGCATCCTAATAATTCAAATTCTTTGCCCTTTAATTTGTAACTGAGAAAATACAAAGATATTTAACCTTATCAGAATCATGGAAATATATTTTAAAACAGTAAGATATTTTTTATGAAAATGATAAACATTAAGATGACATGAAATCCAGGTTGGTGAGGATATGGCAAGATAAGCACTCTTACACAGTATCAGTAAGAGTATAAGTCAGCACAGTGTTTTGCAAAGAGTAATTTGGCAAAACCATCTGACTCAGCAGTTTCACTTTTGTGGAATAGGAGAGAGAAGTACCTATTAGAAACACACACTGATTGATCCCCGGCACCAAAAAAAAAAAAAAGAAAGAAAGAAATACACATTGAAACATACACAAAGATGTTCAAGGCAGCCAAATACTGATGGCAACCTAGTAAATATCCATCACCAAAAGAAATGTTCAGTAAAATCATGGGATATTTATACTACAGAACGCTCGTCAACTGTTTAAAAATATAATGAAGTAGTTCTATATGTAGTATCAAGGAATGATATCTACAACATACAAACAAAACAAATATTATGTAAAATGTCTGAACATTTAGTTTACATTTTAAAAAATGTATTATTCTTGGAATTAAAAAAAAAAAAACAACCCAAGAATACAAGAAGATAAATGTCTTCCATACTGTGTGAAGCTGCTAGAGCGATCTCTGCCTTTGCCACGAGACCAGATGGAAAAGGTTTCAGCTCCTGCTAGCTGTTCCTTTCAGGAGACTTGTCAAAATGATTGACTCCCACCTTCCTGCAGGCACAAAGAAAATTAAAGGATCTTCTCATCACTTTCAACTTTGCTAATTACAAAGTCAACTGCATTATGCTTCAAAGTGCTCCATCTATTAATCTTAATCTTGATTTTTTTTTAAATACCACAAAGTTGGAATTTTTTGAGTCAAGAACACCAAAGAAAAACCTTTAGAGGAAAAAAATTATGCAACTGAGCTTGTTTTGTTCCTCCCAACAATTTGTACTTTCTCTTAAGAGTATCATTTGCTTGAGTAGGATGAATATTGATTTGGGCATCCGAAGACTCAGACTGTACTCCTGGTTCTGTCACTAACCAGTGCTAACCACTAGCCTCTTAATCATTTGGATTATAAAATGGGAAGGAGTACAGAAGGGAAACTGGGCAATGTTTTTTTGAGACGGTCTCATTATGTAGTTCAGGCTGGCCTTGAACTCACTATATAGGCCAGGCTGGCCTTGAACTCACAGAGATCCTCCTGCCTCAGCCTCCCAAGCACTGGGATTACCGACATGCATCACTATGCCCAGCCTGGGCAATGTTTAAAATTTCATCAAAATTTAAAAATCAATCATGAATACACACAAAAATCTCATTTTAAATCTAAATATAAAATGCAAAGAAGGGGACCAGGGACTTAGCTCAGTGGTTTCGCCTCCGGCTGTGCAAGCTCAAGGACCCAAATTCAATCCCCAGTACCAAAAAAAAAAAAAAAATTAAAAATCACAAAATACAAAGAAAAGGTCTGTAAAGATACAAACACAGAACCAATGAGTACTACAACCTTCAAGGAGACAGAAGTCCACCGAAGACTTTTGTCAGCATTTTACTTCTTACTTGAATATTTACTTTAATGACTAAAATATAGCTTTTAAACAGCTAATGACAGATCTAACCTATAATTATTTTCCAAATGGGAAAGATGATAAAAAGCCAATATTTCATATATATTACATCTAAGAAGCTATTAAGAAATACTTAAACACTGAATTCAATAATCAGAAAATTCCTTATATCTTTTTTTTTTTTGAGACATGTAATCCAGGCTAGGCTCAACCTCATAATCCTCCTGCTTCAGCTTCCTGAGTGCTAGGTTTACAAATGCAGACCACCACACCTGGCTCTTTTGCTGTTCTAACTGTAAAATTCCCTCTGTCTACTTACTATCTTCTATAATCATATCTTGAGCTCTTTCTTCAATGCATGTATTCTTTCAAAATACACTTTCTAAGCTACAATCTCACACTGCATTGAGCTACATAAAATGTCTCTATATGATTTTCAAGAAATAAAGATATGGTTCTGCAGAGCACTGTGGCATAGCCTGTAATCCCAATTATTCCAAAATTGAGGCAAGAAGATTGTAAATTCTAGGCCAGACTTGGCACCTCAATGAGACCTTGTCTCAAAATAAAATTTAAAAAGAGCTGGGGATGTAGCTCAGTGGTAGAGCCCTTCCTTACCATGTGTGAATCCCTGGGTTTAATTCCTAGTATAGCAACAAAAAATAAAAAGAAAAGAAAATTAGCCAGATTACAACTTTAATCTCAGCACTCGGGGGGCTGAGGCAGAAAGATTGCCAAGAATTCACTCTACATAGTAAATTCAAGGCCAGCCTGAACAACAAAGTGAGATCCTGTCTCAAAAACAATCAAAACTAAAAGGAGGGCCGGGGATTTAGCTCAGTGGTTAGGACCAGAGTTTGATCCCCGGTACCAAAAAAAAAAGAAAAAAAAAAACAAAAGTAGAAGGAAGGAAGGAAGGAAATGAAGCACCAACATGAGATAATATAAAATGTATGGACAATAAAGTCGTAAAAAGAGCATAGAAAAAGAAAAGGGGGAGATTACAGGATTTTAGAATTAGAAGGGACCCACTTAAATTTACTGAGCTTAGAAATGTGATAGGAAGAAAGGAAAATTAAGTACCTATTACAAACCAGTCAGTATGAGATAGATTTTACAACTGTAACCTCAACACAATTCTGTAAAATTAGTGTTATCTAAGAAACCAAATTTCCCCTTATATTTAAACTCAGAACCACTAATACTTTTTATTTTATTGGTATCCTAGCAATTGGGAATAGGGAGTGCAGTTCAGTGGTTTAGTAAGCATTGGAGAGGGGTGAGAGATGAGGGTCTGGGTTCAACCCTCACCCCCACCCCCAAAAGTCCAACATTTATTGTGAGAGTTCCAGATACTGGTGCAGGTGCCACTAAATGAAGAAAAAAGTAATTTCTCAGCCTAGTGACTGACTCATTTTACAGAGTGAAGTTATTTTTTTAGGCAGCAATAAGAAAAAGGATTTACTTTTGGAAATTTCTTTAACTTACAAAACCTTATTTACCAAGCGCAAATATCACAGGTACTGGGGTTAGTAGCTATATTTCTCAGAAGTCCTTCCTGGGCTACTGCCCCTCAATCCAACATCTTTAAAAGGTCTAGTCCAAATACTCGCATGGTCAACTAGAGTATTTAATTGATTTTCACTGCTGAGAAACTAAACATCAGAGGCTTTATATAATTTGTGAATAACACTAGACTAAGGACCCAAACTGAGGTCTAATTAGAAAGCCAACTTTTTTCTACCACTCTGTGATAGACCTGCCCAGGGTTGGTCAGAAAATGGCAGTGCTAGAATCTAAATTTAGGCCTTCTAAATTCAGTACACTCTAATAAACTATGGAATATATAGGTACCAAAAAAGGCTTTAAAAAAAAATAAAAAGGGCTTTTGGCTTCTTGGAAAAAAATAATTTAAGGTGCCTTATGCATGCAAGGCTGCCCTTAGCCTCCCAGATGAAATGGAAGAACACTATGAATACTCCTGAATGTAAGTGACCAAACATTATCAGAAGAAAATTATAGTACTTGCAAACTTTACTTGCACACATAGGACCAATATCCTTTACAACCACTGCAACTATCAATCCTTATGCCATATAACATCTAGACACAGAGGTGGTTGTTCTGAGCTTCTCCCTAAGAAAGTTCCAAATAGAAAATGTATGCAAAACAATACCCTATAAACCCACATACACTTTATATATACATAAATAATTCTCTTTCCCCATTTTCAAAAATTGTGGAGGGAGGCGGGGTGGTGAGGCACACCTGTAATCCCAGCACTCAGGAAGCTGAAGCAGAAGGATAGCCATGAGTTCAAGGCCAGCCTAGACTACATAGTGAGTTCAAGGACAACTCGAATTACATACAGGGATCCTGTCCAAAAACAAACACACAAACAAAAATTCTGGTGGGCAACAGGAAGTCAAAAGAATTAAGATGTACCAGGGATTTAGCTCAGTGGCACTGCGCCTGCCTTGCAAGCCCAAGGTCCTGAGTTCAATCCTCTTCATGGGGGTGAGAAAAAAAGAATTAAGATGTGTTATATACATGTATCAACTCCCCATGATGAATATAATCATTATGTGTAACAAACACATATTAATATACATTTTAAAAGAAAAAAAGAAATACAGATTTTAAGATTTATTATAGAGCATTTAAAACATATACAAGCCTGGTTTAATGGCACATGCCTGTAAGCACTCTGGGAGGCTGAGGCAGGAAGATCCCAAATAGAAACATAGCTTGGAAAATTTAGCAATGCCATATCTCAAAAAATGATAAAACATAAAATGGCTAAGGATGTAGCTCAGTGCAAAGGCTGTACATTTAATCCCCAATAACACCGAAATTTTTTTTTCTTAATTGTAAAAGCATATATAACAGTAACACAATGAAGCCCGACATACCCATCACTCAGGCCCAACAGCTATCAACCATAGCTAATCTTTCCCTTTTTATCAGATTATTTTGAAGCAAATCCCAGGTACTACATCATTTTATCTGTAAACAAGAAGTTCTTATTATAAAATATCTGGTTCAAATTATAATTATCTTAGTCATACTATTTTAAACTTTAAAAAAATTTGCATCCAAATAAGGTCTACACAATGCAACTGACCTATCTTCTGAGTTTTGTTTTGGTTTTGGTTGAGAGGGTCTTTGTTATGTAGTTCAGGTTGACCTTGAACTCTTAGCAATCTTCCTGCCTCAGCCTCCAGAATTGGGTATTTTAATTTATAAATTTACCATCTTTCTCTGCTTCAATTTGTTAAAGAAACACCACCATCTATATATCTATATATGTATGGTATATCATAAAATTATAAGAATATGCATGGGGATGAGAAACACCAAATTCAGGATAGTGGTTACCTTCAGTACTGGGGAGGGAAGAGGAATACTAAGGAGGCATGAGCAGATTCAATTTCATCTCTAATTTTTTTGATTTGTTTTGTTTTGATTTGTTTTTGTGGTAGAAAGGATCAGACCAAGGGCTTTCAAGCTGAGCTACATTCCCATACTTTTTTTTTTTCTTAAGATAGGACCCTACTAAATCACCAGCTTCCCTGGCTGGGTTCCAACTTTTGATTCTATTTCAGCTTCCCAGAGTGGTAGGATGGCCAGCTTGTTTGGCTTCTTTCTGGGGGATCAGTAAATGAGGACTGAACCCAGAGGGCACTGAGCTTCATCTCCTGCCCTTTTTAAATTTTATTCTGAGAAATGTGCAGAAGGGGAATAAGAAAGGGAGGGGAGGGGGGAAAGAAAGAAGGGACAATGGGGCCGGGGATTTAGCTCAGTGGTTCCGCCACCTGCCTCAAAAGCGCAAGGACCTGAGTTCGATCCCCAGTACCAAAAAAAAAAAAAAAGGGACAAGAGAAGAGAAGGAAAAAATGGAAACAAAGCTTTTGTAAATAAGGAGAAGAGGGGCTGAAGGGAAGGGAGGGGAATGGGAAAAAAAGAAGCAAAATATATCATACATAGGTACAAATTTCCTATAATGAATGTTATCATTATTTATATCTAAAATGTACCAATAAAATTTTTAAAACACACACAAAAATTTTTATTCTGAGATAGGGGCTTGCTAAATCGCCCAGGCTGTCCTTGAACTTGTGATCCTCCTGCCTCTGCCTTCCAAGTAGCTGGGATTACACCCATACACCATTGTGCCTATGTTTTGCTTCTTAAAAAAGAACAAGGTTGGGGTTATAGGTCAGTGGTAGAGTGGCTGCCTGATTTGTAGAAGGTCCTGGTCTCAATCCTCAGTGCCAAAAACAAAACAAAACAAAAAATCCAATAACAAGATCAGAAACAAATATGCCAACAGAGGATAAAGATGAGTATAAAGGTATTCATTATTATTTTACTTTTTTTTGTTGTTTGAGACAGGGTCTCAATATGTAGTTCAGACCTCAAACTCATGGCAATCCTCCCCAGTGCTGAGATTACAGGCATGCACCACCATGCCCGGCTTACTTCCTATTTTTATATGTTTAAAATGCTTCATAAAAAATATTATTTATTTTTTAATAAAAAATATTTTTAAGGCATGAAGTCAGTGGGAAAGATACAATGAATATACTCAAGTCTCAAATGTCCTTCCCCTGTAAAATACTGAACTTCACAGGGCTGGAGATTTAGATCAGTGGTACGGCACCTGCCTCACAAGTGCAAGATCCTGAGTTCAATCCTTTGTACCAAAAACAAAACAAAACAAAAACAAGACAAAACTTCATGGTGTAACTGGAGATCGAACTTGGGACCTTGCGCTTTCGAGGCAGGCGCTGGAACCACTGAGCTAAATCCCTGGCCCTACCTCACAGGGTTGTTACAAAAATTAAACGAGATCATAACATAAAGCACTTAGCACAATACAGGCACAATCTAAAAGATAAATAAGTGGTAGCTATCATTATTTTATCCCACCCTAGTCACATTCCCTGAAGTCTTAAGCACAGGAATGGTAGGGAAAAAAAGTGCTGAAATGACGGAACATCCCCGAGACCAGTGAGGGCGAAACTTGTAGACAGGACTGCCCAAACTGCAACCCAAACCCACTTATTTTTCAGCACAAAGTGCCAACACTGCAATTTAAACCTGAATACTGAGGTTTTAGTTTAGAAGAAACTCATACATGAACATCTTTTGTCTTAAAAGAGAAACACCCGTGCCATAGGTTCACCACTACTGTTGTCTAGACCCTGCAGATTTAGAAATTATTCAGTATGCTCTATTTAAGCCAGCATTCAACCAGATAGTCACTTAACCCAGCATTTGACCATACTGTCTCTAATTAAAGACCATATTGGATGGACATCTGAAATATCAGGCAAGTTCTCCAAATTAATAGTCACTGAAGTATCCCACATAAAAGCAATGGACTAAATGCCAGAGGCCTCAGCAACCCAAAAGTCTTTGAACCACAATTTCAGAGACAACTCAAGTCTCTGAAAAAACGGGGATAAATACTGTTCACTGGATCAAATAAGAATCTACCAAGGGGCTATTTATGAAATCACTTTAAACCTAAAAATCCTATCCCAATGAACACTCACACTTTGTGACTTAGGAGAGGAAACCCCTCAGATAAAATTGAAGCTCCGAAATGAAGTTCCCCAAGGCAGTTTTAGTTCGATAACCCCTTGCTTTCCTTGACACTTCCCTGGTAGACTCTACTTAAAATATGGGGACCCCTTTACTTTTAAGGGAAGAATATTTTTCCCATTGCCCAATTCTATAACTCTTCTCCCCATCCCTTTGTGACCCTATTCTGTCCTTCCACATCTCTTACCTGTCCACCCCCTTCTTCACACTTCAGAGTACCACCCCCTCTGTTCTCTAACCTCTTGGTTGCAACCTCAGAAATTGGTTCTCTATTTTTATCTTACCTCAGAAAACCTACTGCCTTAGAGCACAAAGCCTTTTTATTCAGGCCACTAAAACTGCAAGGCCAGATGCAACCCCACATCCTCTTTCAAGGTTCTAAAACCAAAACCATTACCATGGTAGGTCAGGCATAGTCAACAGCAAGGATTATTCCCAAAGGACAAGATTTCTCATTGGCCTTTGATTTCCAACCTCTCCCAAGTACAATAAATATATGGAGTACACAGCTCAAATGGCTTTGTTGTCATTCATAAAATGGGTCCAACATTTTTTTTTAAAGTGAACTGAAATTATTTGTGAGAATTTTGCAACTCCCTTTGAGATAACTGAAAACACTGTGGGGTGGAAAACCACCTAGGGCTGGAAATTTCAGCTTCAGGTTAACAGTTCACTACATCGGGGTACCAGGGACTCCTCTCCTACATGGACATAGAGAGCACGTATCACTAAGCTGCAGCAACAGGTTTCTTTTTTAAAAGACGGGTATGCTAAAGCTTGGAACTCACAGCTAAAGCTTTGTAACCCACAGAAAAACTGTTGAGATCAGGTTAGGGCAGCCGGTGGGCTACTGCATCACCTCTGGGCCCTCTTCAGGGATCACCCTGGGTGCCAACTGCCTCCCCTCCACACCTTCCCTCATGACCAGAAGGAAAGGTGGTGCAGGTCCTTGCCAAGGAGACGGCTCGGCCTCCCCTGCTGGCCTTCAAAGGTGTCGGCCGCGAGGCGGCGCCGCCCTCGGGCAGGGCCTTTGCACTTCCCTCCCCCAAAGACGAAGACTCCCGCCTCCCGCGGAAGGTGGAAGAAGCGCGGGCTTCCTCCCCGCCCCTCCCCCCGTGGGGGCGACAGCGGCCCCTTGACTGACCCGGGAGTACAGTCACACCTCGGCCAGCCCCGGCCCGCTCTCCCGGGGGTGGATTATCCTCTCCCTCGCTGCCGGCCGGGGCCGCGGAAAGCCCGTGATCCCGGTTCTCACTAGCAACACCCTCCCGCCGGCGAGCTGGGGCAGTGGCATCTCCCGCCTCCTTCCCCGCACTGGAAAGGGGCGGCGGACAGCGCGCCCGGCCTCTCAGTGACCAGACAGCCTCCCTTCTCCTTTTCCTCAGCAGGGTGAGGGGCATTGCTGGACCGCCGACGTGGAAAGGGGGCAGGCACATTCCCCCACCACCACCTCAGGGACGAAAAGCAGCCCTTCTCCCACCAGAGCTAGGGCCTCCCTATCCCTCAACGGGGCGTACGGGGCCCTCAACCGGGCGCGCAACCCCCTGGAGATGCAACAGGCGCCCCCAACCCCCGCCCAGCCGACGAACGCCGACCGTGTATCCCTCCCGCTCTTCACCTCCGGAAGCCGGGCCAAAGCCTGGGCGAACGACTGCGCCTCACTCCGCCCCCTGCGCCATTTTATCGCCCCCTCCTCGACCTCCCCCACCCCGAGGCAGCCGGGCCAACGCCAGGGGGAGGGCAGACAGGCAATGATTGGCAAGAAACCGCCCCGCCCCTAAGGGAAATGCGCCCGGCGCAGATGCCGCAACCCCGCCCTCCGCACCGCCTACTCTACCTGCAGGCTCGCCCCCCTTCCCGTTTCATCGACCCGCTCGACTCTCCGTTGCTCCTGACTCGTTCCTAGCTACTGCTAGGCAAAGGGTTTAGGCCGATTAAGCCGAGTGACGAACTCAGCTGATGCAACCTGAAGGGACTCGCGTGACAGTTCCCGGCACGCGGCGGCGGCGGCGACAGAGGAAGGGGCGCGGGTGCCGGTTGAGCGCGGGAAGTAGGGGTGACGGAGCCATGGGGGACGTTCCCAGCCCGGAAGAAAAACTGCACCTTATCACCCGGAACTTGCAGGTCGGGCCTCGGGGTTGGAGAGTGCGGTTGGGAACTGGGAGCCGTGGGTCCAGTGGTCCTACCCCGTCCTGAGTGTGTGGGCCGGGGCCTTCGCGCCGGGGCAGTTCTTGAAGAGACTGTAGTTCTTACTACTGTTGGGTCAGTCGCTCGGTCAAGCCGCCTTTCCCTGGGTGCCACAGAAATCACAGCGAGCTCTCCTCTTGTGTGCCATTACCTTGTGTCGGAGCCAGGCTTTAAATCTAAGATTCCTACCTTATTTATGTGCCAGACGTGGTGCTGCTGGGTTCTAGGGATGCGTCAGGGCCCTCTCCTCCCAGCGCTGGTCTGGAGATGATCAGACGTTAAAAATGACACATAGCCCAAACCATTTCAGTTGAAGTTAAGTACTGGAAGTTACTATACTGAAAGGAAATAAAGGGAGGGAAGGCTCCCCCTGAGGAAGTAAGCCTCTATGCTGCTCCCTGAATGATATGAATCATCTCTTTTTTTTTATTTTTATGGATCATCTCTTGACCCTACAAATGTTCCAAACTGCAGGAGGGGATAACCAGTAGAAGAATGGGAAAATGGGCTTGCGGGGTGGGGGTTTCAGATGGAAGAATATTGTATTTTGTTAAGATCTAGAAGGGGTGAAGGAAAATTATAGTTCGGTGTAGAAGAAAATTGTAGTATTTTGTTAAAATCTAGCGGGGAGAAGGAAAATTATAGTTCAGAGAAATGGCTAATTTGGCTGAAGTGAACAAACTACTAATAAAACACTGTATTGTTCATTCCTTTACCTTCTTTCAGGGCTCTGACTTGTCACCTGGGTAGGGTGGCCTTTCCGAGGATTTAAATTTAGATGAAACTCCCTCGTGCTCGTTCACCAGCACATATATTAAATAACACTCCCTGCCACTAGCACTGTATCTTTTCCTGCTCTCCATTGTTTTTCCTATTCCTCTATAGCCCTTATTACCATCCCATAGACTATATATTTGTTTTATTTAGGAGAGGTAGGCAGAGACCAAGTCATGAGGGCCTTTATAGGCTTTATTCCACGAGCTCAATTAAAAACTGGGTGTAGCCAGGCATGCACATGCCACCAATCCCAGCACTCTGGGAGTCTGAGGTAGGAGGACTGCAAATTGAGCCCAACCTAGCAACTCAACGATTTAGGGAGACCCAATCTCAAAATAATAAAGGGATAGGGATGTAGCTCAGAGCAAAGACCCTGGGTTCAACTCCCAGTACCAAAAAAATTTTTAAATCACTGTTTTACAGTGTACAATTGAGTATTCACATAATTGTGCATCCACAACCACCTTCTAATTCCAGAATATTTTCACCCCCCCCCCACCAGAAGCTTGTATCATTAGCAGTCAATACCCATTACCTCTACTGCAAGCCTTAAGAAAACCACTAATGTAGTTTCTATCCCTATGTATTTATTTGCCTATTTTGGACATTTCAGATAGCTGGAATCCTACAATATGTGTCCTTCTGTGTCTCACTTCTTTCATTTTTTACTAGAGATTTTTCACTTGCTTCCTCTTGGCCAGATTCCTTGTTTCCTACCCTCTGTCCATAAAATAATGCTTGCTGGGGACATCCACTGCACAAAGGATATGGAATTGACTTGCTCAGGTTTTAGAAGCTAAGTGATATAAACCTTCCGTGAGTTATGAGAACCCCCTAAGTGTCCAGATCATAAGGAGCTCTGGAGAATGCAAAATCAGTCACCAACAGACTTGGAGCACAGAATTTCAAGTCCTGTTAATTAGACAACAAATACTTTTTGTTTGTCATAGTTTTTGGGGGGGGGGTTGAAACAGGGTCTTGCTATGTAGTTCAGGCTGGCTTTGAACTCACTATGTAGCCCAGGCTGGCCTTGAAATCAACTGTGATCCTCCTGCCTCAGCCTCATGGGTGCTGGGATCACAGGCATGCACCACCACGCCCAGATCCCATGGTTTTTAAAAACCTACCAAAATCATCACTTGAAGAAACACTGAAAACACTTTTATCAGAAGCATACTGGCCTAGGCAAGAGGATCGATGGGAGTTCAAGGCCAACCTGAACTACATATAGCAAGACGTTGTCTTTAAAAACCAAAAAATGAAAAAAAAAAAAAAAAGCAAAAAATGGGGGCTGAGGATTTAGCTCAGCCACACCATGCCTGCCTCGAAAGCACAAGGTCCTGAGTTTGATCCCCGGTACCAAAAAAATAATAAAAATAAAATAGTGATTTAGCGCAGTGGTTCTGGCGCCTGCCTCAAAAGCACAAGGTTCCGAGTTTGATCCCTAGTACCAAATAAATAAATAAATAAATAAAGGAGCATAGTGGCCTATTAGGTAATTCCAGTATTGTTTTTGAGCAAAATGAAATTAGTTTTAAACAAAGCCAACGCTGGTGACACATACTGTAGTCCCCGCTACTCAGTAGGCTAAGACAGATTGCTCAAGCCAAGAGTCTGAGGAAACACACTAGAGAGAGGTAGCTGGCTATCAAGCCAAGCCTGTCTCAAAAAATAAAATAGAAAGATTTTAAACAAGTGAATAAGTTAACCTGATTTTGAGTTTTAAAAAAGATACTTCAGGCTATCTTTTGGGACATGGATTAGAAGGAGCAAGGGTAGATATGACAGACTTGTTAGGAGATTATTTCAATAACCTAGTGTGTTCTCATGGTGACCTGGATTAGGGTGGTGGTACAGAGACAAATGGAAGAGGATTTAAGAGCTATTTTGGAGGAGCCAGGCATGGTGGTGCACGCCTGTAATCCCAGCACTGGGGAGGCTGAGGCAAGAGGATCGCTGAGAGTTGGAGGCCAGCCTAAACTACATAGTGAGTTCAAGACCAGCCTGAACTACATTGAGAGACCCTGTCTCAAAAAGCCAATAAATAGAGCTGTGGATTTAGCTCAGTGGCTTCACCGCCTGCCTCGCAAGGGTAAGGACCCGAGTTCGATCCCCAGTACCAAAAAAAAAGCCAAAAAATAAATAAAAATAACTGTTTTGTAATAACTAATACATTTTGCTGAATACCATTTCCTAACCTAGGAGTGAAATTATAAACGAAAAAGGTATTTGAGACATGAGGTAGGAAGGTGAAAGCATAGGTTTTAATTTTGAATGTGTTAGGTTTGTTTTATTGTTTTTTTCTGGTACCAGGAATGAACTCGGGACCTTGCTCTTGCCAGGGTTTTTGGGGGGTTTTGTTGTTATTTGGGGGGGGGGTTGGTACTGGGGATGGAACTCAGGACCTTTCGTTTTCGAGACAGGTGGTGGAACCACTGAGCTAAATCCCTGGGCTGTTTTTTTTTTTATTTCTTTTTTTTTTTGGTACCAGGAATTGAAATTGGGTCCTTGCATTTGCGCAGCAGGCGGCAAAACCATTGAGCTAAATCCCCGGCCCTCTGGGCTGTTTTTTGACACAGGGCTTCGCTATGTAGTTCAGGCTGGCCTGAAACTCAGGATGATCCTCCTGCCTCAGCCTCCCAAAGTGCTGGGATTACAGGCATGTGCTACCATGCCTGGCCCAATGTGTTAGGTTTGAAGTATTGGGTTGATATATACACGATTCTATATATGGGTATGAGCAGGAGATTTGGGAATTAGTAGTTCATGAGTAATAATTAAAGCAACTGATAAGTAGGGAGAATGTTGAATAAGAAAAGACCAGAGCCCCAAAGATTGCTAATATTTGATGATTAGGAAGAAGAGGAACAGCACCAATGAAATCTAAGCTGTCAGAGAAGAGGGAAACTAAGAGAATAAAATAAGGAAACGAAAAAAGAAGAGAGTTTCAGGGAGGAAATGATGACTAAAAAGTATTCATTTAATGGATGGGGGTGTAGCTCAGGGGTAGATCACTTTCCTAGCATGCACAAAGCCTTGGGTTCAATCTCCAGCACCACACACATGTGCACACAAAGTATTCATTGAAGTTAGCAACCTGGAGTTCCTCTGTGATCTTCACAAGAGTATTATGTGGTATGCCACTTACAGGGAACAGGAAATGAAGGAGTGGAGACCAGAAGAAGGTATGGGTACCTCAGAAAGTTGGCCATGAAAGGAAAGAAAGTGGGTTAGATGTAACTAGAGGATAGGAGTTCAGTAGGGACACGCCCCTGTCTCCTTGCAACCGTGTCACTTCACAGGAGGGACACCACCAGTAGCATCAGCTTGGGTTGGCACTCATCAGTGAGAACATGGCTAGCCCTCCCTGCTGGCTCTGAGCCTGAACCCCTGTGACACATGACTTTCTTTTCCTTGTATTAGGATATAAAGGATGCACAAGGTAGGGCACTAGCATTAAACCAGCTCTTCTGCTTCCACAACAGGAGGTTCTAGGGGAAGAGAAACTAAAGGAGATACTGAAGGAGCAGGAACTTAAAGTTTACTGGGGAACAGCAACCACAGGCAGGCCACATGTGGCTTACTTCGTGCCCATGTCCAAGATTGCTGACTTCTTGAAGGCAGGATGTGAGGTAAGAGCTCATGGTATCAACCAAGCAGTTGCCCTTGGAGAAAGACAAAAAGAGAGACTTAATGAGGATGGGGCAGGGGTGGGAGAGGTGGTGTGGTTTAGTGATACTAGAACAAATTGACACTTTGGTGGTCCCTTATCCCTTATGTCTAGGTAACCATTCTTTTTGCGGACCTTCATGCATACCTGGATAACATGAAAGCCCCATGGGAACTTCTAGAACTCAGAACCAGTTTCTATGAGAACATGATCAAAGCAATGCTGGAGAGCATTGGTGTGCCCTTGGAGAAGCTCAAGTTCATCAGAGGCACTGATTACCAGCTCACCAAGTAGGTGCTTGATCTTCCACCACCCTTCTCCTGGATCTGGAGCTTCTACCTAATTAAAGCCTGTGGAGTCCAGGCATTCCAAATTTGGATTATAAGCTGTTTGGCACTGCCTGTTAAGAACAAAAATTTATACCCTTTGTTCTTTAATTCATCCACCAAAAGAAACTGTCTAGTAAATGCTGAAGTACAGTTCCTTTGCTGGAGATATACAAAGGGTGTTAAAAAATATAGTGAATAGGGCCAGGGATTTAGCTCAGAGGCTGTGCTGCCTCCCTTGCAAGCGAAAGGTCCCGAGTTCGATCCCAGGTACAAAAGACAACAGGGCCAGGGATTTAGCTCAGTGGTTCGGCTGCCTGCCTCCAAAGCGCAAGGACCCAAGTTCGATCCCCGCTACCAAAAAAAAGAAAAAAAAAAAAAAATATATATATATATATATATATATGGTGAATGTTTAATTATAAAAATTGTAGCTGGGCATGGTGGCACACACCTGTAATCCCAGCACTGGGAAGATTGCTCTAAATTCAAAGCCAGCCTGGGCTACATAGTGAGTTCAAGGGCATCCAGAGCTACACAGTGAGACCTATCTCAAAATAAAGAAAAGAAAAATTATAGCTGAGCATGGTGGCACATGCCTATAATCCCAGCATTTGAGAGGCTGAGACAGGAAGATTGCCAGGAGTTTAAGGCCATCTTGGACTGCATAGTGAGTTTAAGACGAGACTAAACTACATAACTATAAGAGAACTGTTTCAAAAAAACCAAAAGACAACTGTATTGCAGTTAAAGGCACATTGCCTGTAATCCCCTCCAAATACTCCCCTTCACTTTGAACTCATTTATCCCATCATTCTTGGCACTTTCTGAAGTAATGGTGGAAGTCTTTCATGAGTGTCTTCAAAATGAACATGATCAAAAGTGGGATGATCATGCTAAGTGACATCCAGTAAAAAGATAGGTTCATAAAAACATTAGTGTATCTTCATCTCTCTTACTCACCAAATCTGACACTGTGTCACTCCTGGCTCTTCCCCAAAGTGAGAATGACCATAATATTTGACCAAAATGACGATAAGTATTTTGAATTGATTCAACACATCGAGGCAGCCACAGCAGCACTAATAAAGACACTCACGAAAAAGGACTTACAGAACTGCCTCAGAATGTGACAAGAACATTTGGATACGTGTGTTCAAAACAAGAGGGATTAATAGCAATGTGTCTTTTACTACAATAATTTTTAAAAATCTTTTAAACGATGTATTTCTTCCATCACACCTCATACATATAACCATAACAGAACCCTTTGACCTTAGATGTGGTGAATGATCCAGCCTCCCTTTCTCGTCCAGCCTCAGCAAATAATGATAAAAGAAATTTTAAAGAGATATCCCCACTGTCTACCCCCCACACCTCTGTGCTAGAGATGGAACCAAGGACCTTACAGATACAGTACAAGGCAAGCATGCTACCAGCGAGCTATACCCGAGCCTCTGTATACTGATTTTGTACTTATTTGAGTAATTCCCCCATCCTGCCTCATAGCCTCCACGTTTAAAAAAATGTTTTAACTTCTTAAATAAACCTTTATAATCTATATACCAAATGTTACTCTCCTAATCACTTTTGCATTGAAACCCTCAGAACAACTTTTCAAAGCAAGCATTATTCTATCATATGTCACAGATAAGAAAATAGATTCACAATTAACTTTTCCAAGTTCATGCATGCATCTAATAAGTTAGATATGAACCTATATCTCTCACTTACTAGTAATTTCTTTTTTATTTCATTAAATATAGTTTCTTTTATTGTTTCCCCTATTGGATGTTTAGAATTTGACGGGGATTTTTGTTTGTCTAACTTCTCCCCCATCCCCATGAAACCCTGGATCTTGCAGATGCTAGGCAAGAGCTCTCTTTCTTTCTCTCTCTTTTTTTTTTCTGGTACCAGGGATCAAACTCGGGTCCTTGGGCTTGTGAGGCAGGTGGCAGAACCACTGAGCTAAATCCCCAGCCCACAAGTGCACTCATTGATGTTCTACATTCCATTTCAAGACATTTTAGGGTCTTTTCGGGGGGCGCTTTTTGTTTTTTGGGTTTTTTTGGGACAAGGTCTTGCTAAGTTGTCTAGGCTACCCTTCAATTTATGATCCTTCTGCCCACATAGCTTGGATACAGGCATGCACCAATAAGCCCAGGTCAACATTTAATTTTGTGTGTGTGTGTGTTTGGTACTGGGATCGAACTCAGGACCTTGCGCCTGTGAGGCAGGTGCAGCACCCCTGAGCTAAATCCCTGGCCCTTCACATGTAATATTTTAAATAAAACATACAAAATCTTTATATAAACAGATCTTTGAACCTACACCCTCTATAGAATGCCTGAGATTTCATTCATTTTTACATTTAATCTACATAAATTATATAGATAAATGTACATTATAGATATTTAAGGAGCCACTATTATATGGTAACGTACTGTTTGGCTGGTGTGTTCTTCTCTCAACCCAGAAAGAATTACAAGGTAAAGAGTCAAGAGAGAAATGAGCAAAAACATTTTTTTTCAAAACCATTTATTGTAGAATGAAAGCAGAAAGCTCCCAATACCTGGAGGACTTGGGCAGGTTGCCAAGGGTTTGCTCTATCTAGGGATTTTTTTTTTTTTTTTTT